AGTCTGGTTTTCAGACTTGTTTACATGTCTTGATTTCAGTGGTGTGTGTGTGTGTGTGTGTGTGTGTGTGTGTGTGTGTGTGTCTGTGTGTGCTGACCTCCCTGGTGCTGGGGGTGGCTCTGCTTCTTGGTGCTGGGGGTAGTGGTATGGCTGCCCTGAAGGCTCCCCCTCAGTGCTGGCGGTGGCTCTGCTCCTAGGTGCTGGGGGCCGTGATACAGTGGCTCAGAAGGCTCACCTCCTCCTCTGCGCTGGTCACAGCTCTGCAGTATTTGAAAGTGGAGTCCAGAAGTACTAACTTTAACACTCTCCAAGCAGTGGTGTATAGGATCTGGTAGAACTCACCTCTGGATTGGCATGAGACCGATGAAATCCCTGAAGGTCTCTTTACACTTCATAATTTTCTTTTTTCTTTTTTTTTTGGTACCAGGGATCAAACTTAGGACCTTGTGCTTGTGAGGCAGGCAGCGGAACCACTGAGGTAAAGCCCTATCCCTCACCTGATAACTTTCAAGCTTTGTTGGAGTGCCAGATAAATTCTGGCAAAGAGGTTTTGAGAAAGTGCTTTGAGATCACAGCCATTAACACATTGTTAGTCTGCAGAAGTTTCAGTACCTAATCAGCGGACTCCAAGGCAGGGATGACAAACAGGCATATCATAGCAGAAACAACATGGTGCACACAAGGCAGCAAAGGTAACAAGGGCTCATATTTTGACTTCTTAACATGTGCTATTTAATTTACCTTAATTCATTTAAAAATGAAATGCAGGGGCTGGGGATTTAGCTCAGTGATTCTGTCTCTAGCCTCGCAAGCGCAAGGCCCCGAGTTCAATCCCTGATACCAAAAAAATAAATAAATACATAGAAATGAAATGCATGTTTGTAGACAGTTTTGAAATGACATAATAATATATTCTTGGTTTGAATATTATATTTGGTTTGAACTTGGTTTCAAGTTACATTCAATATGTCATAATGTTAAAAGAGAAAAAAGTTGTTTTTATTAATTAATATTTTGGATATATTACATTTCAGACAAAATAATCAACCTACAATAATTTTTGTGTTTAATTATAAATTGAGACAAGATGTAATGTTTCAGCTTGCTAGTTTAATTTAGCAAGTCTCTCCAATTAATATATATCAAGTTTCATTTGACTGTGCTGTCGGCTTACCAGGAAGAGAGTGTAAAGATGGACTCAGATACAGACCACACACACACACACACACACACACAGTCCTCAGCCACTTGGGGCTATTAGAGACCACTGAATTGTGAGGTTCCTGTGTTGTTCAGGGAGAAGTAGGAACACAAAACCTTAAAAAGCAGCAACCTCAGGCTCAGTCAGAGGTTGGCATAGTGCTTGGAATCTTTGCTTTTGCAGTTGTCGCCTTCAGAGTTCTGGACTTTGTGGGTTCAGTTACCCTCTCACACTGTCCCTAGCAGTGAACCTCTTGCATCAGTGCACATCTTTAAATGTGTCTTTCATCTTAGGCATCACACACTTGCTTCTGTGAATCACCAGTAACAGGCATAGGTTAATATTCATCTACACCAACACGAATGCTAATATACAAGGAGCAATATCAAAGCAGGTCTGGTATTTCATAAAGTATTTCTAAGCTTTTGTGATTGTAAGTCTTAATAGTACAGAATTTAGATGGGCATATTCCTCCCTTAAAGACCTTGTTTTCACATAGTACATCCATAATGCAATGAGAAGAAAGAAATCACTGGCAGGAAAACTATTTCCCCAAGTTGTGACTTGCATCTCAATAATGAGAAGCCATTAAAATCTATTTTTAAAAAACTCCTAAGCTGATCTATTCCTTAGAATTTTGAGATTTCCCACTGCTCTGCTATTTTCCCATTCTGTATGCACAGCACAGATTCCTGCCAGGCCTATTACAGTGAGCAAACAATGTTCTCTCTGTCGGAACAGAGAATGAATAGTATCACAAAATTCTCCTCTAATGTACAGCCTACATTTCCCCCACCCCAAACCCTTCAGAGGAGAAAAACCAGGATGAGGACTGAGGAGGAGGACCTGACTCTCTCATTGCCAATCTGAAACTGCCTTCTAGAATGCTAATGTCTAAGTAATGTCAACTGTACAACTTCTAAGCAGAGAAAGTTGACAAGTATATCTTCTTTTAAATTGGATCATGTATTTTTGCATTTCTATGTATATAGGTACATAATATATTTATATGGAAAAAGGAGATATTTCATTAGATAAAATTTCAGGGCTCAGCAAAAACCAGCTTATCACAACAAACAGCATCAACGGGGGAACTTCACAGAAATGACACAGCAATTTGCATTAAAATATTGGCAGCTAATTCATGAATAAGGAAGCTGACTATCAATTCAGCTGCTTTTGTTAAGCCTTGATTACTAAGCTCACGATTCATAAAGAAAGAACCTTGAGCTACTCCTCTGGAACGCAGGACACGGAGATGATGCTGAAAAATCTGTCTTTGGTATTAAGGTCTGTCTGTCTGTTTGTCCTCACTCCACAAGAAGCACTGAGGATCTGATTTTCCAAGACAAGAACTTCATAATGTATTTATTTCTCATGTGCCAATGAAAAGCTTACTTAGTAGATATTTTCATACAAGACAACAAGTTTCCTTAAAATTGTCCTTATTTGTAAGTCTTGGTTGCTGTAGAATATTATGATTCATCTTTTTCCCCCTTGTGACAAGAATATTTTATTTAACCTTTAAAGGGAATTATCTAACTCATTCCTTATAACGTAATGTTTTTATTGCCAAACCACACTGGCTTCTGTTTTCATGAATGTCTGTAACAAGAAGAAAAAAGTCCAGCTTCCCTTTCTCTCCCTTTTCCCACACATTTGCAGTGCAGCTCAACAAGCTCCCAGATTCTAATGGCATTCTCTTGGTAACACATCTAGCAGAGGCTGCAGGATACCCCAACAGCTCTTTCTTTTCTTCTCTTTTTCCTCTCTCCCTACCCCAGGTCTGTAGTAGACTAAACAATTAAACCTTTGTGCTGCGCCACGGCCATCTGAAAATTCTAATGATGTGTTCCCAGATTGGTATATGGTATTATTTACCTTGGAGAGACGTTTGTTCAAAAAAGTATTCCACACTCTCGCAATGTATCTCTTTGAAATGTTGTTATGGAGAGAGTCTCTCTTCTTTCTTGGCCTATAACCAAAAAGAAAGTTAGAAAAAAAGGGAGATGGATATAGGCTGTCAAAGATACTTGCTCAGTATACTGTAAAACTGTTGGCATATTTATGCCAAATGCTGAACTTTACATTGCTTCCGAAACAAAGCAAACTGCACAGGTTTAATTACGAAACAGGCACAACTATAAATATCAGTAAATAAATACAAAATTGTCTCTAAAATAACAGCTAAGTAGTATCTAATCAAATACAAATCATTATACTTGCTCTTTCCATATCCTCCCCAGTTTATGACAAATAAAACTGTGTGCTATTGTGGCAATGTTAGAACTCAAATAACTGCTATCTGAATTTGAGATGAAATAAGTTATTTATTTGAAAAGAGCATTTGTGCTTTATGGCAAGGTGAGCCGTGATTCAGTTCTGAAAATTTGTTATCAAAAGGAGGTTCTGGTGCAGCGTGAATAGTGTGACCTGAATGACATGTGGCTCCAATCCTAAAATGTGTGCCATCATTCTGTTGTGAATGTGGGGAAGATGTGTAGAAATGCAGGAGGCTACAGGGATGATTTCCCCAATCCTATCTGTGGCTCTTTGCTACTTCAGCCTGGCCCTTCCTCCATCCCGCTTTCCTCTCTGCTTCTCTTCCCATCCTTCAGTAAATATGCCCTATGCTGGACATTTACTTTACAGAATACACTAGGATAGGTGCAATGTGAGAGGTAGGAGCAGTGAGACAATGAATGAATGAATTCACATATTAAGGAGAATATCCCAGCAGTTGACTAAGATTCAGCATCTTGCAATCACTTCGGCAGAGTGAAGCACAATTTCTGATTTTCTTTCTTTCTTTTTTTCCTATTAAGTTTATTGGTACATTTTAGGTATAAAATACAGTTACATTCATCACTGGGATCTTGTACCTTTACATGACGTATCTTGGTTCTTTTTTCCTCATTCCTCGGGCCTCCCTTCCCTATTTAAAAAAACTTTGTTTCAATTTTTTTCTTTACTTATATTTTTTCCCCTTCTTTCCTTTCCCCTACCCCTCCCACTTGCCCTACTCCTTTAGACCTTTTCTTCCTATTACACAATATCAATTATACATTTTTTAAAAATTACAGTATCAAGATTTAGAGGACATTACCACAGATTTTACAGAATTTAAAAGGATATAGAAAGCATATTACAAAAATCTTTTTTGAAATGAATTTGACAACTTCTATGAAGTACTTTGGAAGACAAATTAATGAAACTGACTCTGGAAGAAATATAAAATTTGAATAGCACCTATTAAAGAAAGTATATTCCTAGCTTGAAAACCTACCTATAGGACAACAATAGGCTCATATACATTTTAACTGATAAATTATATCAAACATTTAAAGCAGAAAAAAGAAGGAACATTTCTCCCTTCATTTTAGGAAATCAGCATTATGCTAATACTAAAACTGGATAAAGATAACAGAAGAGAAAAGTATGAACATAAATAAAAATTTGTTTAACAAAACCAACTATTACAAATCAGATCTGGCAGTATGTAGTAAGTGGTTTTATTGCAGGGATTGCAGTGTTGATTCAGCATTGGAAGATCCACCCCCATAAGTCATCATTTTAACAGAGGAAAGGAAAAAGCCATATGATACTATCAGTAGTTGCAGAAAAAGTATTGGCCTAAATTCTACAGCTGTTCATGGTAAAAGGTATCAAGAGACTAGAAATAGAACAGAACCTTCTCAACAGATAAAAGACATGTAATCCATACTTCCAGCAAAAATACCTTATATGAATGGAAAAGATACAATGCTTTCCCCCTAAGGTGGGGAACAAGGGCAGATATTCCTACTCTTCATCTGTCCATTAAACTTTGAAACATAAGCCCAAACCAAAATAGTCTGGCAATAAAAAGAAACAAATAGCACAGGATTGGCAAGGCAGAAGTAAAATCTTTATATGTAGATGAAATGATCATCTACAGAGAAAATACTAAGAAATCTCTAGGATCCCCTAGAACTTACATTTGAATTTAGCAGGACTAGAAAACATAAGGTATATATAAAAATTCAGATCTATGTATACTTGCTATAAATGAAAAATTGGATATTGAAATTTAAAAGTTACGTAGGAGTACAAAGGACCTGGAAAAGTAAAAAGAAAAAAAATAACAGTGTTGGAAGACATTTATTATCTAATTTTAAGAGTTCCTCTAAAGCTACAGTAATCAAGGCAATGTTGGCATAAGGAAAGACATATAGATCAATGGAATAAAATGGAGAATCTAGAAATAGAACCACACATATATGGTCCACTGATTTTTGAAAGATTATTTAACATTAACATTTTATAGAACATAAACTCAACATAAGAGCAGAGGAAAAGATAATGTTTTCAACAAATGGTACTAGAACACCTGGTATCTGTGTGTAAAAAATTAAACTCAACCCTTTATTTCCATACATAAAAATAACTTGAAAGGATCTATGAATCTAAATATGATAGACTAAAACTATAAAACTTTAAGAAGAAATTATAAGGGAAAATGTTCATGAATTAGGGTAGGCAAGAATTTCATAGGATACAAAAAACATGATGTATAAAAGAAAAAAATTGATAAATGAGATTCCATCAAAAT